CTCAGGATCGCGCTGTTTCCTGACGCGGGCGCTCCAGACCCGCCGCCATTTTTTCTCCCATGTTCTACAATTATTAATATTCAGTGCTGCCCCATATTTTCTGAAAAGAAACATAACAAGAGATTGGGGTTCTGATTGAAACTATACCTGATCCTGAAGAATCCCGTATAAAAATGATGCTAAAACCCAATGTTCAGGTTGATGTTGTTGGCTTTTTTGTTTATGTCCCATTACAAATGCTACCACCCACCAAATATTTCTTATACTTCAAGAGGCAGCTCAATATCTTCTACTTCTAGGAAGATGCTCATGGTTCTTATATCATCTCATTCTAAGTTAGGATTTTTTTCATGTTCTCATATAAGATCTAGTGCTTACCTGTGTCCCAGTACAGAAAACATCACTTCATAATTGGCAGTTTACTTGTCTTACTCTAATTTTGATGGAAGTCCAAAGACAGATCATCGATTTCTGGGAACTTTATACATAAATACCTCTGAGTAGTAGACTGAAAACCTCACTCACTCTAACATCCCTGCACGTTGTGTGTCTCCTGGCACATGGCACACATGCAAGTTTTTGTCCAATGTATTAATGAACCTCAAGTTAGTAGAATATGTATGATATATTCAAAAATTGGTGCTGGCAAAATTGTACAGCTCTCTTGTAGAAAAGGCTATTCATCTACAGCAGGGTTCAGCAATCTACAGATCATTGCCTGCTTTTGTACTCCCACCAGCAAAGAAGTGCCTTTACATTTTCAAATGGTTTTTAAAAAATCAAAATGAGAATAATATTTCATGACACACAAACACTGTGTGGAGTTTAAAACTCTAGTGTCCATAAATAAAGTTTTATTGGAGTGCAGAGTCATGTTCATCATGTGTGTACTGCCTATGGCTGCTTTCCTATGGCAACTGCAGAGGTGAGCAGTTGTGACAAGACTAGATGGGTGTTCTCCGTACTTTGCATGCTAGTACACTGCAAATACAGTGATGCCCTTGTTAACTTGACGTTTTCCCAGTGCCACTTGTAATTCAATACTGTGACATTTTTATGTGTTTAATTTTAGTGCATCTTCATTATGTCAATCAAGAGAGGTGGAGAAGAGTGGACTCCTAAAGTCACACTTTCAAGGCACAAAGGAGTGTATATTATTTTGTTATGTTGGATTAGATGGCAAAGCTTGTCTTTATTATGCAGTGACACTAGACCTGTGCTTGATGTTACCAGACTCAGCACTTATCACCATCTTTTCAACTACAGGCAGAAAAATTAAACATTTAAAATGGGATACCTTATCACAACAGAATTGCTGCACAAAATTTACACATATATAAATACACACACACATGAAATTACTTCAAAAAAAAGTTTGTGAAAAAATAGGACCAAAAGATAACACAATCTTTCCATGAATTTTTGCAGTATGTTCCTATACACACATGCACATACACACACACCCCCAGAGTAAATTTCCAAGTGGCTCATTTGTTAACCAAGCACACAAAGCCATTTGCTGATGTTTAATTATATTGTGTTTGATTATAGCAGTTGAAGTAATGTGTCCAAAGGAAATAAACTTGTTTAAGACTATTAGTTTTTCAGAAAGAACATATGTTGAAAGAGTTGAGGATATTGGGTGAAATCTCAATAGTCAATTAAAAATTTTAAAAAAATATATAAAATGATTGTAAGCAAAGGCAAAATAGTAAATATTGGATAATAATAGAAGTTACCTGTTGAAAGAGTTGAGGATATTGGGTGAAATCTCAATAGTCAATTAAAAATAAATATATATATATATATATAAAATGATTGTAAGCAAAGGCAAAATAGTAAATATTGGATAATAATAGAAGTTACCTTTATTTCTGGGGACAAGAAAGCTTTTGAATAACTTTATTTCTGGGGACAAGAAAGCTTTTGAATAAAAAATTGTCAAATACTACAAACCCACAAAAGGACAAAAGAAATATTTTAAAATTCTACATTATTAAATTAAGAATTTAGATCATTCAAAGATACCATAATCTCATAATAAAAACGCAAATGAAAATTATACCTGTTAGACTGGCAAAAACCCAAAATTTCATCTCACTAGGATGGCAAAATTGGGAGAAAACAGAATCTCTTTCACTGTTGGTGGGAAAATAAATTGGTTCAGCCAGGTCACTTTTATAAAGTGATTTTCACACTATCTATAAAAATCTCACAGCATTTTTATTTCTGGAATTTTAGCCTTCAGTTATCTGTACAAAATTATTTGCTGAGGCTTTTTTTATGGAGACAGAAATTGTAAACCACCTGATCATCCATCCAAAGGGGACTTGTCAAATGAATGAGAGTCACACACAACATGGAATAATGGTCTTATGCAGTTATAAAAGTATGTAACACTCCTTCTGCACTAAAATGAGAAAGACATATGAGGGTATTTCAAAAAGTTCATGGGAAGATTCAGAGCATCTTTCCATTCTATTTTTCCATGAACATTTTGAAGTGCACTCATATAACAAAGTGAAAAAAGAAGAGAGAAAAACAAACATAGTCGTATGTACAGTATGTCTACGACTGGGGAAAAACATGAGAAATAAAACATGTAGCTACATTTCTTATGTGCATTAAAGTCTTGGGGAAGATACACAAAAATCCTACAGTGATTACTGATTTTGCTTTTCATATTTGTTTTGGAGGGATCTTGTTTAACTGGACAGGGTTGGAAGGCTGAATTTTGACTGTGTAATTTTTATTATTTTTGATCTTTGAATCTGTTTTAAGAAGCTAGGTGATAATCCCTTGATACACATAAAAGAAAACTGTTGTTATTCAGAATGTGTACCTAACTACAAATTAATTATTAAAAAAGATTAAACTGCACTATAGAAATGAACAAAGGCTTGGATGTCACTTTGCGATAGACTCTCATGATTAGAGAAAGCTAGAAGAGTTGAGAAATGTCAGAATATTGCTCAATTTCATTTTTCCTTGTTTAATTCTCACCAAAATGAGATCCCATTTCACACCCACCTGATTGGGAACAACTTAAAAGTCCACTAAGGCCATGTCTTGGTAAGGATGTGGTGCTCTTGCACACTGCTGTTGAGAGACTCAATTGGCACAACCACTGTACTTCCAAAAACAAATTCCATTCTTTGATATACCACTGAGAAACATGTGTATCAGAACATATAGAGACAGTGTTCATAGAGCAGGGCTTATATTGGCAAGAAACTGAATACAGCCAAAACTTCATCAAAAGCATAATGGATAAATAAATTGGGGTATATTCATTTGGTGGAATTCTACACAACAGTGGAAATGAATGAAATAGTGTTATAAGTGACAACACAGATGAATTTCACAAGTGCAATGTTTAGATAAAGGTGAGTCACAAATACTGTAGGACTGTATTTATTATTGTAAAATTTTAAAATATTTAAAGCTAAACAGTATGCTTTTTAGGGATGCACACACATATGTAGTAGAATTCTAAAGAAAATCAAAGAAATGAAAAACACAAAAATCAGGACAGTGGTTAGTCTGGAGGAAGAGAAGAGGTAATGAGACAGATGTATTTAGGAGGGGGCAGCAGGACAGGGAGGACCCTTTAAATGTAATAGTAGTTTTCTTTTCTTAACTGATAAGTGCAAGTGTGGGTTGTATCATTACTCTTTATAGCTTAAATAATTATTATAACTGTTTTGATTTCATCCATTATTTTATAAAAGTACTGAATTTTAAATTTGCTAATCCTGCATTACTAGAATAAAGCCTGTATGTTTATAGAGAATAATTACTTTAATACATTGGAATATTCTATATACTTGTATTTAATTTAGAATACCTGCATTCAAAAGTACAATATAGTGTTCAGTTTTCTTTTTCAGTAGTACCATCTTGAGCTTTTGACATTAAGGTTATTGCTAACTGTGGGCCGGCCGGCCCGTGGCTCACTTGGGAGAATGCGGTGCTGATAACACCAAGGCCACGGGTTCGGATCCTATATAGGGATGGCTGGTTGGCTCGCCTGGGAGAACGTGCTGCTGACAACAGCAAGTCAAGGGTTAAGATCCCCTTACCGGTCATCACTTAAAAAAAAAAAAAAAGATTATTGCTAACTGCACAAAATGAATTGAGAAATTTTCAGTTCTTTTATGGTTTTGTTTAAATATTCAGGCATTATCTGTTGTTCTTTTCTCTGTTTTAGTCCATCTGTTTCATTTTGTTTTCTTTCACAAATGATGAGCCTTGTCTGTTTTAAAGACTCTTTCATCCTAAAATGCAAGTCAAAGCAAAGGAATATTCCAGTAAGCTAGGATTTTTTAAAATCCTGTTTATAAATGTAAGCCAGAGGAGGTAAGGAAATAAATGAGCTGGTATAACTATCCAGCTTCAAATGTGTGCTACTCTTTAAGCATGTGCTACTCTTTAAACATGTGCTTCTCTTCAAACATGTGCTACTCTTCAAACATGCTACTCTTCAAACATGAATTATTCTTCTAACATATGTTTCTTTTCAAGCACGTGCTACTCTTCAAACGTGCTACTCTTCAAACATGAGTTACTCTTCAGACATGAGCTCTTCAATCATGTGCTACTCTTCAAATGTGCTACTCCTCAAACATGTTCTACTCTTCTAACATGTGTTTCTATGCAGGAAGGATGACTCTGAGAGCAGAGCCCTGGACCTAGGTGATGGAGTTACGGGTACAGAGCATTGAGCCACAGAGGATTATTCCCAGGCCTTGAAAACTAATGAAACTTTTCCTGCTGGATTTTGATATTTCTTGTGACAGGTACTTCCTTCACACTTTCCATTTTCTCTCTGCAATAGGAATATCTATAACTGTTATCCTAGAGTTATTCCACCATTGTATTTTGGAAGTAGATAACTTGTTTTCTAGCTTAACAGTTTCACAGATTAAGAGAAATTTTGCTCCAGGATGGATCATACCCAGAGTTTTATCAATATGTGACTTTCATGATTAGATGATAGGATTTGGGACTTTTGAGCTAGTAATATCTATACCAGATTTTAGACTTAGAGTTGATGTTGTAATGGATTAAGACTTTGAGGAATGTTGGGGTGGGGTGAATGTATTTTGTACATGGAACAGACATTAGTTTTGGGGAGTCATTGGGCAGACTGCAGGGTTGAATGATAGCCTCCGGAAATATAGGTCCACTTTCTAATCCCTGAAACCTATGAATGTGACCTTATCTGGAAAAAGAGTCTTCACAGATGTAGTTAAGTTAAAGACGTTGAGATGAGGAGAACATCCTGATTATCAGGGTGTGCATTCCCATGTCAGATGTCCTTATAAGTGGCAGAATAGAAGACACACAGATGAGAAGGCAATGTACAGAAGGAGGCAGAGACTGGAGTTATGTGGCCACAGCCGAGGCAGACAAACACCAGCCTCTAGAAGAGGTGAGGAGCAGAATCTCTCCTGGAGCCTCTGTAGGGGGCGCTGCACTGCTGATGCCTGGATTTAGGACTTCAGGTATCCAGAATTGTGAGATAATAAATTTCCATTGTTTTAAGCCATGAAGACTGTGGTCATTTGTTATAGCAGCCTTAGGAATCTAATACACTTGGGAAATGCCGTCAAACCCCAGATACAAGACACACTGATGGTTAAGGAACCAAAGGTGCTCTGACCCTGGGAAGCAGGAAACCGTAGCAGCCTCTCTAGTGCAGTAAATTGTCATAAAAGCATTTCCAGTTTGCAATAAGAAAATTTTTCTTTTTTGGGGGGGTGGGGCAGCTGGCTGGTGATAAACACCCTTGATCTTGGTGTTATTGGCACCACACTCTAACAGAAAATTATTTATTTAACCTGTACCTGAATTATCTTGCTTTTAAACATATTCAAGCAGTGAACTAAAATAAAATTGCAGAACTAAACACTAGGATAAAAATAAACATCACCTTATTGGGCTAATTTTGTTTTTAATTATCTGAATATTAACATGTGCATCTATGTTTTAGAGACAATCCTTTGACACTTCATTTTTTGGTACTATATCATAATTTTTTCATCAACTTTTTAAAAAAAATTAAATAAAAATAAAGACAAACTCCTTGTTTCTAAACTCCTGAGCGCCCATTTCCTGTGTTCAGGGCATGAAGAAAGCTGCAGGAGTCCGCTCTGAGGGACACAGACCTTCCTAAAAAAATTAAATAAAAATAAAGAAAAACTCCTTGTTTCTAAACTCCTGAGCGCCCGTTTCCTGTGTTCAGGGCATGAAGAAAGCTGCAGGAGTCCGCTCTGAGGGACACAGACCTTCCGGATTGCTAGTGCTCATCTGTGAAGACTCGGAGACACCCCGTTATTTAGTTCCCTGGAACCAGATGGTTAAGGCTCTTCCAGACATTCCAGGTGAGGACTTGCGAGGGCAACTGCAGGTTTAACAGGGGCTGGTACGGAAGAGATGTGGATGTTGTGTGGCAGCACGTGTTCGTGACAGTCCCAGCGACACAGCAGTGGTAACTAGCAGGTGCCGGATGCTGTCAGCGCGGCGACAAGTGACGGGCTGTGGCCTCTTGGTGCCCAGGCACTGTGCTACCAGCACGACCAGCCCAGCCCCTGAGCCCTGAGCCTGGCGGGGTCGTCACAGACAGGGCCGGACTTTCCCTCGTCTTCATTGCAGGACAGCAGCGTTTGTCCCCGGGGGTGGCCAATGCACAGGCCAAGATAAAGCAACAGGAGAGCATGAAAAGGTTGACACAGACAGGGGGATAACTCCACACTCGCCTAACTGAGTGCTCAGAACTGCCGTCTAGACGTTGCTGCCATCCTCCCCGGCAGGTGGCAGGTTAGTCCCTTCTGTGGCATGTTAGGGCCCCTCTGCCCCGATTCCCTTTCCTGACTTCCCGGGCAAGGACTTTCTCAAAGCAGCAGTTTCAGTGTAAAGGGGACTCTTTGCATGTTCCCAGGTCACTATGTCTGTTCCCCCCTCGCAGAGTGGTCCCACTTTCCCCCGAGCCATGTCACCAATTACCCACAGGACAGCAGAATCCACAGAATGCCAGGACCTCCATCACGTCAGATAAGACGTCTTGTATCAACGTTCTCCATGTTGGCTTTTCTTTGGCAATAAATTTGAATCCCTGCATATTAGGAGAGGATTATGCCATCTCCTTGCCATCTGCTGAGAGCAAAATAACTTCCTTTAAAACAGTCCTCAAAATTAGGTCTGCTGCTTCCATTAAGGGTATGATCTTGGTGTTTTATTGCCTTTTAAAGTTGCTTGTCCTTTTATCTCCACCTTTTTTATATTCGAGTCACTTCTATAAAACCAAAGGTTATCACAGGAGAGCCTCTATGACAAGCCTCTGAACTAGCTTGACCCTTGCCCCTCTTTATAAGGGAAAATACCAGACCTGGAAAGTGCTGTAGGAATCCCTTGAGGGGACAGGGTCTGCCTCCAGCTGGCCTGTGTGGGGCAGGTGACTCCGGCAGCCAGGCCCTGCATTAGGAGGCAACATGGAAAGGGAGCTTTGAAGCTTTCCTCCTGTCACTTGGCACACCTGCCTTGGGCACTGTGTCTGTGGGTCTCTGGATGCAGTACAGATGTCCTTCCAAGAAAAACCCATGGCTGAGAGGAGATCCAGAGGAGGGGAGGGACGGAGCAGAGAGAAGAGCTGCAGAGGTGAAGGGGGAGGGATCTGCAGAAGTGACTCAGGGCAGAGGGCCCTGGTGTGCAGGTGCATTAGGAATGTCAGCAGCACATTTTCCTGTTCCTGCATGTGTGAGTGTGCCACTGCATGAAAGCTCTACGTGCCCAAAGAAGCCTAAGTAAAAGACCTCTATCAACTATTTTGAAATAAATATCCTAATAGATCGAAAATACATTTGTTATAGGTAAACCGACAGCCAGCAGCTTTTAGTATTTCTTTGTTATTCATAAAACAGTGGTGTGTCTTCCAATCAATAGCAACTTAGATTTTATTAAATCTAATCTCTCCTTTTGTGTGTGTATATACCTATGTATATATGCACATACATAATATGCCTGCAATATTTTGGGAAAGATATCTAACTTTCTACCAACAAATATGAAAACTCAAATGAAATGGATTATGGATTATTTCCTAAAGATAGTTAAATTGACAAAAATAACTGAAGAAGCTATAGGCAGCTGGATAAGTTTATTACAATAGAAAAATAAAAAGAGGAAAAGAAAGCCATGTGAAAAGTCTACTTTTTTAAGAAGAACCTATCCCAGATGATTTCAGTGACAGCTTCTGATTCTTCCAAATTTTTCCCAGAGAGAGGAAAAATTCTAAGTTCATTATTCTGTGAAGCTATCATAATTTGGATACCAAAAGTAGATGATGGTAGCACAGAAAAACAAAACCTAGAGGCAAACTCTATTTCTTAACATAGTAGCAAAAATCCCAAAATAGAATCAACAAGAACAAAAACCAGCAACATAGTAAAACCATCACACCTTGTGACCTAAAGGCTTATCCTGGGAATAGGAAGCTGCTCATCCTCAGGAATTTTACTGACAAAAACCACTATATTAAGAGACTGGAACATCTCAATAAATCCCCCTCAAAGCAGGCAATGGATAAAATTTAACATCTATTCTTAATGTTTAAGCAAACAAGATAAAATAAAACCAATAAAATTAACAAAATTTATGTACTAGAAACCTGTAGCATCCATCAAATTTAATGGCAATTAAAAAAAAAAATTGCGATAAAGACAGTACCATGACAAGTATTTAAGCCAGCAATGGGGGTCATATCATTAAAATAAAAAAGTTTTTGTGTGTATATTGGAAAGTGATAAAACATCATGATTTGCAGCCAAGATTATCCTTGAACTGTTCAAGAGAATCAATTGAATACTTCTTAGAATAATTTACTAAGATGGCTAAGGGACGTTTGGAGGCAGGTCAATAGCTTTCTGATATACTAAAATGTAAAATTAGAACACGAAAGGGGGATAGAATAGCTCATTCCTAACAGCAAAACAGCAATAATCCTATTAAATACTTATTAGAAACACAGCAGTACATGTACAAGACCTACTATAAGGAAAAATGGAAATTTTCTTGACAGAACAGAGGAGAGGAAACATACCCCGAGGCTGCGAATATATTTGGGGATGAAGCTTCCAGTTAAAAAAAAATCTCCAGGGCCGGCCCGGTGGCGCACTCGGTAGAGTGTGGCGCTTGGGAGTGCGGCGGTGCTCCTGCCGAGGGTTCGGATCCCATATAGAGACCGGTCTGCTCACTGGTTGAGCGTGGTGCAGGCGCGACACCAAGGGTTGAGATCCCGTTGTCGGTCGCGGTACGGGCGTGACACTGAGGGCTGCAATCCCTCTTATCTGTCACGAAAAAAGACAAAAAGGAAAAAAAAAATCTCCAGTAGTGACTTCATTTTCTGACAAAATGGCAAACAAGAAAATCCACTCTACTTCACCAGCTTGTACCTCAGCTTGGTGTCATAGCTGCTAAACCAGCACGCTGAGTTCTCAATTTCAGTCCCTATATTCTTTTATTTTCAGTATGTCTTTTCTATTTCTAATATTTTTGTAATTTGCCAAAGCATTCAACCCTGTCTTTAATGCCTCAAGCATATTAATTATATTTAATGTCAGTGCTTGATATCTGGATGTTCTGTGGATCTTTTTCTATTGTGTAATTTTTTTCTCAGGCAGGCCAGGTTTTCTCTCCTTGAATACCTGATTATTTTGGACTGAGTGGCAAACGTTGTGATGAAAACTTGTGGTGCTAATCCCAGTCCTAGGTGATGAAACCTTCCCGCAGGAAGATTTTGCTTCTGTCAGGAAGCTAGAAAAGGAGCTAGGAAGTGAGCATTTGTGCTCATGGCTCACCTCAATGCAGTCACAGAACCGGGATTGAGGACACTGGATCCTGCGAGGCTATTTCCAGTTCATTCTAACTCCTGGGGTGGAGACTTCTGGTTTCCAACAAAAGCCTGCTGTGTGTACCAGGGCCCCTCCTGTTTGGCAGTTCCTGAAACTTATAAGCATTTATAAAAGTTCAACTTGGTGTGACACCACCATGATGCCAACTCCGGGAGCAGCTTAGAAATTACTGATGGATCTTTAACCAGATGGGCTGAGCTAGTCCCCTGATTCCTCATGGTCCTCGTGTGATAAAATCTTCTATTGAAACTGGACTCTGGCGGAGAGTTGTGCCACCCAATATACAGCTTGTATAAGTAAACCACAAAAGTAGTTTTAAATTTTCTGGTAGCCATATTTAAAAAATAGAGAGAGAAACAGGTGAAATTAACTTTAATGACGTATTTCATTGAATCCAATATAGTCAAAGTATTATCTTTTCAATATATAATCAAAGTAAAATTTATTGATGAGTTCTTTTTACATTCTTTCTTTTCTGACCAAATCATCAGAATTGGTATGTATTTTAAAATAACAGCACATCTCGATAAGGACTAGCCACATTTTAAGTGCTAAATAGCCATGTGGCTAGGTGTACCACAGTAGTCACCATAGTCTAGAACTTTGACTTAGATGTCGAATGCTAGAACAAGAAGCCACACCAACTGTGTCAGGCCAGCTAAGAGCTTGTGACACTGAGGTAGGCACATTAGCCCATCACCCACCTCCAGGGTGTAAAAGATGAAAAACTGCATGGGAACGAGGAATTCTTCAGCAGGCCGTTACAGGGCTGCCGTATGTCAGGGCGAGACGGGCGTTTGTACCCACCCTTGCCATTACGCAGGGTGCAATGGGCTTCATGAAACGCTGAAAGAGA